TGGTACGCGGGCCTCTCACTGTTATGGCCTCTCCCGTTGCAGAGCACAGGCTCCGGACACGCAGGCTCAGCGGCTATGGCTCACGGGCCCAGCCGCTCCGCAGCATGTGGGATCTTCCCAGACCGGGGCACGAACCCGTGTCCCCTGCATCAGCAGGTGGACTCTCAACCACTGCGCCACCAGGGAAGCCCTGTTTCTTATGTATTATTTGCGTGAAAAGTATTATAAACCTCTTATAGTACAGTACTATATAGCTGATTGTGTTAGTCGGTACCTAGGCTAACTCTGCTGGACTTATGAACAAATTGGACTTAAGAATGCGCTCTTGGAATGGAACTCGTTCGTATGTAGAGGACTTACTGTATAGGATAATTTAAGGGTCAAAATAAATTATGGTAATTTATTATAACACACTGAATAGTAAATTTTTAAAAATTCATTGGTCCATACAATACTTTCAGAGGACAAAGGAGGAGGAAAGCCAAAAAGAGTGAAAAGAAAAGAAAACTCTTCGTTTCAGAAATATGTGAGAAAATATTATGTAAAGGAAATGATAAAATTAGAAAAATCACCATTTTGTAACCATCAATGTATTAATGATTCAGGGACAGATCATCAGTGGATGATAAAACACTGAGTAAAAGACTGTTGTGGAGAATTCTCTGGCGGTCCAGTGGTTAGGACTAGGCACTTTCACTGCCAGGGCCCGGGTTCAATCTCTGGTCAGGGAAATAAAATCTTGCATGCTGCACGGTGCAGCCGAAAAAACATTAAAAGATTGCTGGGGAACAGGATATTCACATGATCTGACCATATAGATAATTTTTTCCTTTTTTAAAATTGAAATACAGTTGATGTACAATTTTATGTTAGTTTCAGGTGAACTACATAGTGATTGAACATTTACATCCATTACGGAATGATCACAATAATTATAGTATCCAACTTTCCCCATACAAAGTTATTACAATATTGTATACCATATTCCTTATGCTGTATATTACATCCTCTGGCTTCTTTATTTTATAATTGGAAGCTGCACCTCTTAATTCCCTTCATCTATTTCACCCAACCCACCACTCCACTCTCCTCTGGCAAACACCCGTTTGTTCTCTGTATCA